ATCAAGCCAGTCACTCAGCAAGCTCTCAGAACCAGCGTTTATGGTAAAAACACCTATGCTGATTGGCAACAGGGGAAGGGCTGGCTGTGACCCAGGAAACTCTCCCCTAACCTTCAGGAAACATTCTGACAGTGTCTCTGAGGATGCAAAAAAATAAAAAGTCTGCTTTGGTTAAGAAGACACGGGAGGAATTGAACATTGGCTGCAAAGGTACATTTTTGAAGTAGAAAACTGCATTATTTCAAAATTAAAAGCCTATGTTTAGAACCAGATTACTTAGATGACTAATTGTATAATGCAGGCACTGGTGAAAATAAAAGCTATGTTATAAGCTGTTTTAACATCAATTTGTATTTTCCTAAATTCCACATTAGTCTAAAATTGGGAGGTGCTAGTTCTGCCCCAGTGTGCTTCATTTTTAGAAGTGATGACACTTGTTTACACCGTTGTGAGGTGTGGAGCACAGGCTGCCTGGGGCCCCTGGGCTGTGGGGGCAGAAGGAAGCGGGCTGGCCAGGGAGGGTGGGTCCTGCCCTCAGGCTCCTGCTTTGCCCAGACACTCAGGGTCCCCTGGTTCACTCTTGGCCTAGTAATGGGGAGACAGACAAGAGGAGCCGTAGGGGAATCTGTTGTCAGCGCCTTCCATATACTCTCCACTTACATCTTGGGCATGGAGGAGTCTCAGAGCTCAGCAAAGGTCTAGGCTCTTTTGATTTCTTTGGTCTTCACTAGTCTTCTTGCTAAGGTATCAATGTGTGCATGTGTGCTGTTGCCTCAGTCAGGTCTGACTTCGACGCTATGTACTATAGTCCACCAGGCTCCTCTGTCCATAGGGTTCTCCAGGCAAGTATACTGCAGTGGGGACCATTCCCGTCTCCAGGACATCTTCTCTATCGAGGGATTGAGCCTGGGTCTCCTGCATTGCAGGCAACTCTTTACCATCCAAACCATCAGGGAAGTAATTACTTAATTGTAGTTGTTTTCCTACAACACTATTTGGGGGTTGAACCCAAGCACAACCCTGTGTTTTCCTTCCCCCCTGTGATCTGAAGCCTCTGCCAACACCTTGTGGCTCCCTCTGTGTACTTTATTATTGTTTGCGCACACTGCCTGCCCCAATGCCTCCCTGGCCAGAGACACTCTGTGAATTAGCAGTGGAGTTCAGTCAGTGACCTGTCAGCAAATCTAGTGAAAAGCACCCAGGAGCTCATGATTTTCAGCCCACTCCTGAAATGTGAATTGATGTAATTTGAAGGACAGACTCTCACACAGCAAGAACTCTGGGAAGGGCATGGGTAGAGGGAACATGGCAGAGATGCCCACTTGGCTCCTCATGGTCTGGTCCACTTCTCTCCTGGAGTGGTTGCACACTCAGTTTTGAACTGAGCACATTGCTGCTCAAGACTACAGACATTCCCAACATCCCCTGAAGCTGGGGTGTTTGTGAGACAAGCTCTCCCTCCAGGATGGAGGGAAAACAATTTGTGCAACATGTTGACTATTATCCAGGTAAGAGACCCTGGCTCTTCCTTCTCCTGCTGTCTTGCTGCTGGGAACATCAGCCTAGAAGGGGAAGCTCCATTCTGCTCCATGTCCACCCTGGAGCGGGAAAACGACCCTGGGATGACAGAACAATATTACTAGGATGGGAGTGGAGCTTTCTGGAACAGCCCTGCCAGACCAACCCTGGGCTGCCTCCCTCTGTGTCTAAATGGGAGACAGACGCATACTTCGGACTGTAATTCTGTGGGGACTTTTTGTTTTTGTCCACAACCTTGACTGGCATATCAGACTTTGAGGGGGGTTTCTGTGCAGCACCCTTGTCAGGCTGCTCCAAGATGCAGTAGTCTGGTATTTTCAGCTCTCCTTTCCGTGGGAGGACAGCCAAGTTCAGCTCTAATCCACTGTCCTCGCCAGCTGTGTCTCTGAAAATCTGTGTGGAAAATAGATGCTCCCCACTCAGCGAATCAGGAGCTGATCCCCCTACCTTCCAGGGAGGTGGACTTGTTCCTTCCCCTGCACCCCCCACTCTCTCCTAAACACATAACTTGCTTTGAAATGTGTGCTCTTTCCCTGATAAGATGGGCAGTTTCTAACTGCACAACCTCAAAACACAGGCATCTTGTGTGAGGTGTAACTGGATTATCGCAAGAAAGAGGAGTTTCATTCTGGTAGGTTCCCTGCTTAACTGATGCATTGAAAACTTTAATTGGAAATATCACTAAAATCCATTTTAAGTATTAAGCTAAAATATGGGAAGTTGTATAAGCTTTGCCCTAAGCTCTCAGTTCAAGGAGACAGATATTTAGGACTTCCCAGGGGTCTGAGCTTGTCTATGTAATTTCTTAGATGTTCTTCACCCTTATGGAACCTGCTGTTTTATAGAGAAAAAACCATATAGTGAAATATTAAACGGCTTGAGAACATGGCAATAAGTTTTATAATTCATTTATTCATTTGTGCTTGATTGTCTGAAAAGTGTCTTCTCTTTCATGGCTAGTTTAAAATATAATTTATTAACAGAAAATTTCCTTCAGGTAAATGTGAGCATTAGAAGAGGCAGAGTGGATGAGAGTGGACTCAGGCCAAGTTGTTTTGGATGATTCTCTATTAAATAGTGACAGTCTCAGCCACAGATGACTGATGTTTCCAGCATCACAACACAGGGCTAGTCTTTTCAGATGAATCTCACAACCACATCCTTACAGTTCACTGATTCCTGAAAACAAAGTGGCTGTTCCACATCAGGTGGTACTGTTGCAGGAAGGGGGACAGCTTCTAGGGCCCAAAACTGGGCTCTTGTCTAACACTCGGAAATGAATTGTCTGAGGAGACACATCTGCTGACAAAGCAAGAGATTTTATTGGGAAGGGGCACCCGGGTGGAGAGCAGACGGTAAGAGAAGCCAGGAGAGCAGCTCTACCACATGGCTCACAGTCTTGGGTTTTATGGTGATGGGATTAGTTTTCGGGTTGTCTTTAGCCAATCATTCTGACTCAGAGTTCTTCCTGGTGGTGCACACCTTGTTCAGCCAAGAGGGATGCCAGAGAGAAGGATTCTGGGAGGTGTTGGACAGGTGGTGTCTCCTTTTGACCTTTCCCGAACTCTTCCGGTTGGTTGTGGCTTATTAGTTCTGTGTTCCTTACCAGGGCCTCCTGTCATAAAACAACTCATGCAAATGGTTACTGTGGTGCCTGGCCAGGGTGGGCAGTTTCAGTCAGCATGCTTCCCCTAACAATTCCATTGTGGGTTTATAGCTCAGGCCATAGCATCCCACATCACCTTGGTCAGATTCTACCACAACCTGTGCTGGTTGGATCTACAAGCTAAGATTGATTTTTATTATCTTAAATGTTACAAAGTTTTGTGAGACACATGAATTATATGACTGCCAAATTTCAGTGTCTATAAAGTTATACCTGAGGCTGCTTTCCTACTGCAATAACAGAAATGAGTAGATGCAGCAGATCTCATATGACAGTCTAAAATATTTACTCTCTGCCCCTTAGAAAAACTTGCCAGCTCTGGCTCAGGAAAGTAGTATTTTTTTAAATACTGTATGCTGGAGTTTTGCTTGAAGAAAGATAAAGTTTTAATAAATTTTTCCCCATGAAATAGATCTTTTTAAAGTAAATGTAAAACTGGCCATGTTACTCTCAGTAATCCCAGAATAAATACCAGGACAGGAAATATTTATTAATAACTGAAAATTCATTAAAGAATCAGGTCATTTAGATGATCTTACTTCTGCGTGACACATTGATGTGGTTGATTCCAGAGTTACATTTTCCTTTAGGATCAGATGGATTCTATAGTCTCTCCTGTGTGTGTGTGTGTGTGTGTGTGTGTGGCTTGAATGCTTGTATGCTGCTTCTTTATTCTTGCCATCCTGGAGTTGCACAGAGAGCCTGGATAGTTCATGAAAGCAATGGCCATACCTTGCTAAGGGGCCTAACCCTGTCTGTCTTGTGTCTTCAGGAGCTAAGTGCACACAAAATGTGTATGAAAGGTCCAGATGTAAAAGTTCAGGTGTCCCTTTGATTCACACCTCCTATGTAAAGGGAATATCCTTCTTTTACCCCCATGGGGATAATTTGGGGCCAGATATGAGGACAAAGTGTACGATGGGTCCAGGTACAAAAAGTCAGTCATCCCCTTGCTTCATACCTGCTGTACAAAGGGAAAATCCTTCCTTTGGGAAAACAGCTCAAAGCTCATAGAGACTAGGGCTGCCCCCTGCAGAGGGGGGCCAGCAGCCTCTGGTGGGGAAGAGTGGGGTGATGACTGACTGGCTGGGGTCTCCCAGGATGAGGCAAGAGGCTGAAGAGTCCAAGTCTGCAGAGCTAAGGTTATACTAACTCGTCCTTGGGTCTGTGTCTGAGTGGAACAGTGACTTTAAGGGGCTAGGATGCCAGCTGCCTGCCTCGAGGCCACAGGAGGAGGGGGCAGAAAAGCAAGCGGTGTGGCTCGTCTTGGTTTCTGAAGACACTTCTTTCTGACACCAGGTGCCAAGCTATGGGAAAGATTGTATTCTTTTTATAAAACTGTTTTAGCGGTTCTAATTCCTTTGCCTTTCTATCTTAGTTCATTTAAAAGATAAATGTACAAATGTATATATATTTTTTCTTTTGCATCAGTGGAAATCCTATAACTTGGCTACTTTTATCCAACAATTCATCATACAGATCTTTCCAAGTCAGTACCGATAAAAATTTCCTTACCAGATCCCTCTTAATGGCTGTTTTCTGAATGTTCTGTTTTTATACTGAGTGATACGAATATCAATAATCTCATTACACATGTATTTGCACAGATGTTCCTCCTACGCTGATTTGTTATCATTGGACTTCGCGTGTGGAATATGAAAAGGTGGATTTATGGTTGTTCATCATTCATTTCTTTCATGGCTTCTGGACTTAAAAAAAAATTGTATCATGATTCCACTCTTTTTATTCCACGGAATAAAAATCATTCACACATGTTTTTTTACCGAATACTTTCATGGTTTCAGTTTTACAGTCCACAGAGTCTAAGTCCCGTCAAATTCCTAAGTTCGCCCGGGAGCAGGGACCTGCCCTCCAGGCCGCCTGGGTCCGACCCTCGGGAATCGCTGAGGAGTGCGCCTTCTCCCGCAGCTGCCCGGGAGGTCTTCCCAGCTACCGCCCTCCTGTCTGTTGTCTGGGTCTCCGCGCCCTGCCGGGCCGGGAGCCGGCTCCCAGGAGGACGCCCGGGACGAGCGGGGCGTCTGGGCGGCCCGCGCTGCGCTCGGGCCGTCCGACGGTGTTGGTCCGCCCGGGGCCGTGTGCGCCGCTCGTCGGGAGCCACCCAGCGGCCGCCGTGAGCCGGTCCCTTCCTGAGCAACGTCGGCGACTCGCGCGAGGGCTGCGGTTCGGCCGCCGAACCCGGGGCAGAGCTCCAGAGGCCGGCGGTGACAGTGGCAACGTTCCCGGTGCCGTGAGGCCCGGGAAGAGCCTGCAGGTTCGCGGCCTGGGCGGGAGGCGTCGTTCGGTGTCGCTGCCCGGCCCGGAGACCAGCGCGCCGCGGGGCACCTCCTGCACGCGGGCACCGCCGGGGCAGCTGAGCGCGAGCAGGAAAGGTCACGGCACCGGCGTCCGCGGGATTACACCTTCTCGATGTTTCCCACTCGCCCAGAGGTGCGGACACACGGATGCACGCAGACACCCAGCCTCCCCCACGGACCCCCACAGTCCTGATTCACAAACGTGTGTTCTCTCCCCGGAGAGGGCCCGGCCCTGGTGTCCAAGAACAGGATGCACCGGAAGGGACCATGGGCCGCCCTTCCGCCAAAGGGCGCCCGGAAGCGCTTCCTCGCAGTGTTGGGAAACGGCCGTCCCGCTGCCCTCGCGGTGATGAGGCTGCTCCCAAGTAGCCACATTCGCTCCTCCGGTTCCCGGACGTGCTCAGGACTGCGCAGACGGGTTTCGCGCGTATCGGGCTGCATTTATGCGAGGGGCGCCGGGCGTTCCTTCTATTCTTCTTGGGCTCAGAAGTGAGGAGGATGGTGTCTGCGTGGAGGCGCTGTGTTTCGTGGGTGTGAGATGCGGGTACATCTGTGAGAGGATCACAAAGCCGACAGATTGGTGAGGTCAACCAGATGGCCCGACGCGTCGTTGGGGATTTTCATTAATATATGTATTACAGTGTAGGTAACCAATGAAAAATATTGAAATTAATTATAATGAAAATCACCTTTATCATTGTTACTCAACAATACCGTAATTATTACCTTTGTTTGCAGTTAATTTAAGAAACACTGTTTCAAGTTTATCCACAGAGTATCCGATTGAAGACAACTAGAGAAGGATGTTGAAATGCAGAACTTTCTTAACACACTAGGAAGTTGGGAAACCTCTCCTTCCAGTCACGAGGCCCTGCCCTGTAGCAACCGACCTGGAAAACCAGACCCCAGCCTCTGCAGCAATGGGCCCCAGGATTCAGTGCATGGTCAGTGACCGACACCTTCCTTATTTTTCTTCCTTTCAATTTAGTACCAAATGGGGGAAACCAAATCTGTTATCTAAGCAGTCACCTGGGACGGCCCTCTTCCTGTCAGCCTGCCTCCAGCTACCCCATATTACATGCTCTGAGCAGGATATGCTTTCCCTTTTTCCCACCAGAACGTGTCCCCACTCCTATGTGTACCCCGAGTCTCAGCCTAGGGGAGTGGTGGTGGCTGACTCCTTGCTCTGGTGATAAATTCTGAGGAAACAGTAAAGGATCAGGAAGACATCCTGGAGTAGGAAATGGCCACCCACTCCAGTATTCTTGCCGGAAAAATTCCATGAACAGTGGAGCCTGGCCATCTACAGTCCATGGGGTCACAAAGAGTCAAACACGACTGAGTATGCACACACAGATACAGGCATATTTGTTTATGTCTACAGAGCTTAGAGTGAGAACCAAATAAAGCAGTGAGGATAATATGTGGTTTTTGTTATTTTTGAAAAAAATTCAAATTAATCATTTTAAGTTTAGATATATATCATATACCAAAAAAATTCTCCTTTGAGCACTGTATTTTAGTGATTGCCTATTTATACAGCTGTGTAGCCATCATCACTATCTGATCCAGAATATTTTATATTTTATCTCCTTACAAAGACACCAAGTGTTTCTTAATTAGTCACTTTAAATTTCATATTCCTCACTTTCATCCATATGGAATTGCCTGTTCTGTGTATTTCAAGTACGTGGGTTTGTACAACTGTGGCCATTTAGGCCCGGTTTCTTACACAGTGTCATGTTTTTGAAGCTTATTCATATTTTATCATGTGATCCATTCTTTTGTTTGACGTCAGAATTTTCCTAAGTCTTTAACACACACACACACACACAGAGGCATGCTACAGTTCTTTTAATGTGGAAAATACACAGAGGTCCAATATTGCCATTAGAACCATTTTATGCACACAGTTCCATGGCATAACGTACTGCCTTCCTGTAGGCACTCAACCTGCCCACCAACCCAGAGTGGCCAGTAAGCACAGAGGATGCCAGCCCAACTGTGCTGCCCATTCTCAGAATGCCCCACAGCACCCACCCAGGCCAAGACTCCAACAATAGGTGCACCTCCCAGTGGCCAAAGAAGAGACCATCTGGGAAAGGGGAGGGGGTGGTGGCAAGGGGAGAGAGAGATGAAAGGAGAGACAAGCAGGGAAATCCATGGCACCTGGTCCTCCCAGGTGGTCTTGCAACTAAGTACTAATCAGGTTCAACCTTGCTTTAGCTTCTGAGCTCAGAAATTACCAGGTGCCTTCATGGTGGTATGGCCCTAGATGATGGTGGCCCAGACCAGGCACCCCTATACCCTGTGGTGTGGGGCCTTGCCATGCCAGCCTCACCAGCCCCTGTCAGAGCCCTGGGGTGCCCAGAATCTGTGGGCAAACTGCTCCTGACACATCCTTCAGCCCTCTGGGGCGCCCAGAATCTGTGGGCAAACTGCTCCTGACACATCCTTCAGCCCTCTGGGGCCCGGCCATCAGGCTGTGACTTGGAATTCCCAGGAAATGGCTATCACTCAGGGTATGTGGCCAGTGGCAATAGGGCCTGACCCTCTGGAAGTGAGTGGAGAAAAGCCCAGTGCTTGAATCCAATGCTGTCCTGGCACCAACTGAGTGTCTCTCGCTGACATCTTCACTGCTTCATCCAGATATTCCACAAACCACTCATATTCCAGGCTGGGATTCTAGGGGCGGCCTTCACGGGGTTGCGGCCTTCACGGGGTTGCAGCCTTCCCCAGTGACCAATCCCAAGTACCTATGCCTCAACCTCTGGACCCTCACATAGGTAGTACCACTGTCAATGCTTAGGGTTAAAAACAGCATATCCAAGACGCTGAAGACTTGTCCTAGGTCATGCAAAAAGCTCAGAACTGAGGTCTGGTGGCCTTTAATGCTGTGACCTAAGGCCACACCATCTGCCAGGAGACATGTCAATCTCCAGGTAATCACAATCAGGTTGATTAAGTACAAAGAGGGGCAAATGTGTCATGTTGGGAGGGGGGAGGGGGAAACATCACCCCTCTGCTTTTGCCTCCCTACTTCCAGCTGCCCAGGGGCCCAAGTCATCTCCTCAGTATCCTGTGGTCACATATTGTCCTGTTTTGACTCAGACAACATGGAGGGTCCCTGTCCCTCAAGTAGCAATTTTCTCAATTTGGAGGCGTACAGTCATGAAATGTCTTCAAGTGTAAAAATAAAGAAAAGATAAAAATCACCCAGACCTTTGAAGTTCTGTATGAGGTGAGAGTGATATAAGGTCCCTTGAACTTCTGTTCTGGAAAGAGGGAGTGAGGAGGAAGAAAAAGCTAATCTTCTCTAGGGTGAAACAGATCACCAGCCCAGGTTGGATGCATGAGACAAGTGCTCGGACCTAGTGCACTGGGAAGACCCAGAGGGATCGGGGGGTAGAGGGAGGTGGGAGGGGGGATCGGGATGGGGAATACATGTATATCCATGGCTGATTCATGTCAATGTGTAACAGGGGTCACTGCAGTGTTGTGAAGTGATTAGCCTCCAACTAATAAAAAAAAAAAAGCAAAGAAAAAAAAAAGCTAATCTTCAGGGAATGTAACCTTCACATGGACCCTGTTTAGTCATTTAATCTGTACACTTGTTTAGTCATCATAACGTTTATTCAAGGTCTTTCTGGCCTAATGTTTTCATGGAGCTCACAGGCTGAAGAGGTACTCAAAGTGAGAGAGTCAGTTCCTAGGCAGGTAGATAAGAAGTCCGGGGGTCCCTGAGGAGAGAGGGGTCTGGGGTTCTCAAGGATAAGATGGGGTCTGGGATTCTCGAGGAGGAGGAAAAGACAAATGGTTTTTTTTTTAATTTGTTTGTTTTGCTTTTTTCCCCCTCTACATTCCTTAGTCTTAGTCACATAAAACAGTGTGTTTTTTTTTCTTTAAGCCTGGAACTGATGATTGCACAACTCAGTTTAAACTCTGTACTAGGGATTATATAACAACAATGTATCCTGCTTTAGGACAGTTTCTCCTTCCTGAAAACCTTCTGACTTACCCTGATATCTTAGAATGTATTTTATGGGAGTGGGTCTGGTAGGATCTTTCTATTGTTAGGTTCTAATCCTGTTATCCTAAATTATAAATTGTGGGAGTGGGTCTGGTAAACTTTTCACAAACTTGAGACATTCTTTTGATTTATAGTAATAAGTAATTTAAAAAGTATACAACTGCCTTGCTAACACTAGTGAGGGGGCCACTCTCCATCCCCCTTCTGATGTCTGTGTCAGAAGCTTTCTCTGACCCTTTCTCACTTTTATAAAACTCTGCTACCCAAAAGCTCTTGAGTGATCAAACCTGGTCCCTGGTCCCAAAGCTAAATCTTCTTCTTCCGCGATCACGAATCCAACATCATTTACCATAAGCTACAAAAGCATGCTCACACAATAGGCAAGGGGAGGTTCTCAGAGGAGGCCTGAGGCAACTAGGAGAAGGGATGCTGACTAAAAAGGGTTTCGTGGAGAAGGTGACATCTGAGGAGGTCCTTCAATGATGACTTCTCACCTAGACAAACACTGGCACCAAGCAGGAACCAAACACAAGGTCAATGAATGAGTGAGTGAGTGAATAAGCACATTAAGGAATCGGCATATCCCTAACACAACACCAGAAAGAGTAGCCAACTGAGGGCAAGGCTTGGAACATAAGGCACATGGGGGTCAGTGGGGAGGGCTGCAGAGTGAGGCCGCCTCACTCCCCCTGTGGGCGTCCTGCCATCACGATGGCCTGTGTCCTGCCTGCTCAGGAAGCCCTTGCCTGTCCTCTGCTCCGGAAGACTGTCATTCCCAGCAACACCTGCCCATGTGGCTTTGGTGGTCCCATGTGTAATTACACTCACTTCAAGGGGGCTTACTGAAGAGGAGGGGCAGTTGGTGTGCAGCCCCCCTCCACTCACTCTGAACATCACAGATTCTCGAGTCTATTAGACAAAGCTCAGATTCTGCTTACACTCTCAAGGTCCTTAGCAACACAGTCCCAAGGACACATCAGTCTTGTCCCTGAATGGCCCCTACCAGCCCCATTGTCCTGTGCTTCCTATTGTCCAAAGACCAAAAAAAAAAAAAAAATTCTTTTGTATATTTGCCCATTTCTTGGTGTTTATAATCATGACAGACCCTACACCACTTCCTCCTTCATGGAAGGTTCTGGGATTTTCTTTTTTCACATGCTTCTCCTTCTGGACTGTGAGCTTCCAAGCACAGCTACACTGTACTGGACCCCAATTGTTGCCTAATTATAGCATTCATCACAGAATCCTTGTGGTGGTTTATCTTAAAAAGACAGCCATCTTCAACTCCTGCCTTCCTTCCTTATATACAAGACGCCCCAT